TATATTTTTCTGTGTTTTTTTGTAGATAAATTTGAACAATTGATGTTAGAAAGAATATAGCCGTTTCAGTTCCTTTAGTTTTAATAAATGCAAATTGAAATTTTGAGTTTCAAATTTTGCTCCATTATCCAATTTAGAAATCGTATTGCTAATATTGTAGTAAGGCATTAATAAAACACACTTTTAATAATCCAGCTAATAAAAATTAATAATATAATAACGTTTTTTGATCGTTTTCTTAACGATCTTCTTCAGTTACCATAACATAGAATAAAATCGAACACAAAAAAGAACGTAAATACAAAATTAAAATATAAATAACAGAAAAGTAGATAAAATAAACGAAAAATAAAAATTAATCCGAAAAAATGTCCCTTAACAAATAAAAATAAATAAAGTCATTAATTCTTGTAAAAGGATCGCCATGCGGTAGGTAAAGAGTCCGCATCTCTATGGTGGATGCAACCAGTTTTCTTGTGTGCCTTAAAGATCACTAATTTCTCTAGATATTTCATTGTATGTAAATTTGTTGTAGGTTTAATAATTTGCGCCCGATCCCAATGGACTTGAATGTCATGTTGCGTTGCGTAAGACGATAGCACGGTGTTGTCAAGTTTCTTATTAATCGTATATTTATGCTCTTTGATACGTTGTTGCAATTTGAGCATTGTTGCGCCTACGTAGACAAGATCCGAATTAAAACGCTGATCGTGTAATGGTATAGAATAGATTCCTGATGCCGATTTCCAGTCATAACGCTTCTTATCGTTTCTTAATAGCTTGAAAACTGTAGGATTGCGTCGATATACTACACTGAAATCATTAGCCTTGGCCGTTTCTTTATGTATTTGTCTCAAAAACGGGGCATAATTTAAAACCATCTTTTGTCTATGGTCTACTGTGGGATGCCGTTGTTTAGTTGTTTGGAAGATTGTAATAAGATTCTTTATGATTTCCTTTTGGTATCCCTGTTGTTCCGCAATCTTTAGAATGTAGTTTAGCACCGCCATCGTGTCTTTTATACTAAATACACCCTGTAATAGAGAAATGTAACTCTCCAACTTTTTTAATTGAAAAACAACTGGTCAAATTCTTCCAATCTAAAGCTCATCGCCATCCAGTCTCGATTAACAACTCTCTACAACTAATAGAAGATCTCAAAAACAATTCTTTAATGGACGATGAATATATGACGGTCTTGGACTTTAAGTCGATGTATCCATCGATAAAATTGTCTCCTTGCTTCTGTGCATTAAGAGATTTTTTATTTGCTAATGTTGAAAATGCGACACATCATCACAATCAAATACTAGAACTTGCACACCTAGTGTGTTATACATCGTTTTTTGTGTTTGAGAACGAATTATATTTGCAGGGAAGAGGCGTACCGATGGGTAGTCCCACATCGGCGATTCTATGTGAGTTGGTCTTACGGCAACTCGAATACAAAATTCTACCCGAATTCCAACACCTTATCATTTTGTATGCCAGATACGTCGACGATATATTCATCTTGTGGCAACAAGAAACCTAACCTACAGCAATTTTTGGATAGGATCAATAATAACCCTTACGGTTTATTACTACAAGTGGACCAGGAGAGTGATACTATTGTAAATTTTTTGGACATTTCCATCACTTGCAGACAGGGAGAAATCAGGACCCGCATATACAGAAAACCATGCTTTCAACCCACTTTAATTCCTCATAATTCAATCGATCCGCATCACATCAAATTGGAGGCCTTTAGGTCCTAAAAAAAGGGCTTATACACATTGTTCTAGTATAAAAGACACGATGGCGGTGCTAAACTACATTCTAAAGATTGTGGAACAACAGGGATACCAAAAGGAAATCATAAAGAATCTTATTACAACCTTCAAAACAACAAAACAACGGCATCCCACAGTAGACCATAGACAAAAGATGGTTTTAAATTATGTCCTGTTTTTGAGACAAATACATAAAGAAACGGCCAAGGCTAATAATTTCAGTGTAGTATATCGACGCAATCCTACAGTTTTCAAGCTATTAAGAAACGATAAGAAGCGTTATGACTGGAAATCGGCATCAGGAATCTATTCTATACCATTACACGATCAGCGTTTTAATTCGGATCTTGTCTACGTAGGCGCAACAATGCTCACATTGCAACAACGTATCAAAGAGCATAAATATACGATTAATAAGAAACTTGACAACACCGTGCTATCGTCTTACGCAACGCAACATGACATTCAAGTCCATTGGGATCGGGCGCAAATTATTAAACCTACAACAAATTTACATACAATGAAATATCTAGAGAAATTAGTGATCTTTAAGGCACACAAGAAAACTGGTTGCATCAACCATAGAGATGCGGACTCTTTACCTACCGCATGGCGATCCTTTTACAAGAATTCATAACTATTTATTTTTATTTGTTAAGGGACATTTTTTCGGATTAATTTTTATTTTTCGTTTATTTTATCTACTTTTCTGTTATTTATATTTTAATTTTGTATTTACGTTCTTTTTTGTGTTCGATTTTATTCTATGTTATGGTAACTGAAGAAGATTGTTAAGAAATGATCAAAAACGTTATTATATTATTAATTTTTATTAGCTGGATTATTAAAAGTGTGTATTATTAATAGTATATTTATCCAGTTCGTTCATTATATAAGTAGTAAGGCATTTTGACAATTTAGGGATGGTCTTCCTTTCCTTATTGGAGATTTCTGCAGAGGTCCTGGATTCAGTTCTGTTCCAGAGATTAGCAGCAACAATAGTATTAACTTATTATTAACCATATTAATCAAATATAATTTAGCACTTTTCATCTATTAGTAATTACACAGACTTCATAAGTTGAAACGAAATTGACCCCAACAGCGATGAAGATCGGAGAACCCCATCATATTAACAAATGTTTATTAGTAAGTAATAATCAGTGGCAAAAGTAATAAAAATAGTATTTTACATAAATTTATATCTTTTGAATTGAATTGTATGTTTTTTATTGTGATGGAATTCTTCAATGGTTTAATTTTATAAGTGATCTTTAATGTCAATAAAAACATTACATATGTATAAATCATATATACATATAAATAATGTTATATTTGATAATATATATTTATAATTTTTACTGTAGTTATCCAAAGTAATCCAAATATTAAGAAGCATGTGTTATGTATGTAAACCTCCAAGGGGTAACTTACACTGAATTGCCCATTCTTAACCTAGTTAGGCAATCCCGTACCTTTGACCTTGGTTGTGTTTCTTTGTCTTCAGGTGGTTGTGCATTAGCTATGGTGATACTTAGACCTGGAAGCAGAAAGTTACATTTGTATTATAATAAAGTTAATTATATATGTTAGCAAGAGTCATTTATTTTACGGGCATAACAATTGGTGACGAGGATAAAAAGGATATAAAAATGAGTGAACTTACAGAATTAATTTCAACTCTAAATGTGTTCATCAAGAAACTACAGAGTCAGTCGATGGAGCTGAAACCAGAACTATAAGTTCAACAAGTTCTCCAAATGCAAGCCCTAACCTTCGAAACTTACAACAAAACTTCAGAGACCTTTGAAAAGTATTTCCAATGACTGGATAACTTTTTCAAAATCAAAGGACTAACTGGAACAGACATCATTACTGAAGAAGCTAAGGTAATGATTTTAATCAATTGTCTTGGACCAAAGCATTATCAACTATTGACCAACTAATGGCATCGGAAATACCCTCTAGGCGAACCTTTGCTGAATTAATGAAGTTACTACAAAATTACCTAACACCAAAATGAAATATCAACAGAACAACACAAATTTTTGTCCAGAGTCGTGTAAACAACTCTTGAAAAATGCAGATTTCAAGTCTAGTTGTAACAATGCCGACTGTATAAAATCTGTCATAGATATGATGTTAAGAGTACAATTCATACATGGTTTACAATATTCCGATATTCGTGAGAAAATTCTACAACAAAAGACCTAACCTTTGAACAGACTCTAGAAATTGCATTAGCCATAGAAGCTTCCAAAATTGAAAATGACGAAGTATATAAAAGTAACCGCCTTGTTCACAAAATTACCAAAAATACTCAAACAAAGTTATGCTCACATCCTCAAACACAATAATTAAATCGAAAGAGAAATAGAACAGAAGATTGCAGCAGAAACCCACTTAACGTCATTGAACTTCATTTAGAAGGACTATGTTTACGTTGTGGGAAAAACAACCATAAATCAGTAAATTGTAGAGTCAAAGACCAGCTGAAATGTGAACGATGTCATAAAAAAGGCCACACGGGAAAGGTGTGCATATCATCCTTAAGGAAACAAACATCAACGATTAACAGGAATCATAACGTTCACAATATTAAGCATGAATGTGTAATTGATTTTGAGACAAACAGTATTCTAGACATATTTGTTAATATAACAGGAACTGATGACAAGAATCCTCACAGAAATCTATGTTAATAGTACAAAAGTCCATTTTGAATGTGATAATGGCAGTCACGTCACCATCATCAGTATCGACAAATTCAATTATTTACAATTGGACACACCCATAGCAAAAACAGAAGTGACCTTTCAAAGTTACACAGGAGATATTTTCAAACCCCTAGGCGTAGTAAAAGTATATATGGTGGTAATTACAGTATAGCAAACTTGTATGTCATTCACTTCCAAAAAAGTGCAATAGTAGGAAGAGATTTGATTTGGAGTTTAAAGATTGACATCAATGAACTCAGCCATACAACCAAGGTCAACAACATTTCGTCAGCAGAAGTAGAAACATCCATTTCAAAAATCATAGAGTGGTACTCAGACGCATTCACCTCCACAGTTGGCCAAATACCTAATTATAATTGTTTATTAAAACTGGAGGGCTCTCCTCCGCATCTGCAGGGCATATTCGACTGCTCCCACTGTCGCCTTGCAGGTTATAGCTGGAAAACAACCGATCAATTTGCATATTGATACTACGGTGCAAAGATGGAGCATGAGAAAAGGTAATAACATTGATCTTGACAACAGAGTTTATAACAACATCGAAATGTCCCTCAGTGAAATTCCAAGTGTTGCTCCCAACAAATGGCCACTTATATATAATCAACCCTGGTTGGAACAGAATCTGAATATCTTTACTGATGGTTCTAAGAACGATGAAGAAGTAGGATGTGCATTTGTGGCTTTCCAGAGAAACACAGAAATATATACTTTCTCAGATAGGCTTGGAAGCACCTGTTCTGCCTTCCAGGCTGAGCTCTGGGCAATTCTGTCAGCAATAAAATGGTGCAATCACAATTTCAACTCCACGGATATTAACATCTTCACGGATTCATGCTCATCAGTGCAAGCCATTTCTAATTATAACTGGCGCCATCCAATAGTCAACTGCATTTTAAATAATTTATTAGAGAACAACAACAGATTCACTGTGATCTGGGTTAGAGGACACTGTGGTGTCTTCGGCAACGAGCGAGCTGACGAACTTGCTCGGTCGGCCGCCACTTCCTGTGACGATCCTACATACTCTGCAACACCACAGAGCTATATAATTCAAAGAATCAAAGACTACGCTAAGGACAGGTGGCAACGTTGCTGGAACACACATAACAACACACTAACAAAAGACTTTTTCCCTTTGGTCTCTAATACAGTAAAGAATGACGTGGAGCACTGCCTCACCCAATTTTACACCGGCCATGGCAGGTTTTACCAGTATCTCCACAGATTTAAAATATCAAACCAACAGAATTGTACAATCTGCGGTGTTCCCGACGGTTCTCGGCACTATCTTTTAGAATGCCCTATGTTAGACGATATGCGGGCACGCATTACTGCACTTTTACCTAACAATTGCGGATGGCCACCTGATCTTAGTATTTTGATTGGAGATAACAATCTGTTCCAAGCCACTAGAGACCTTATTAAAACATATTTTAAAAGGACCACTGTAATTTAATTCCATATGTCTTTTTAAGTCATATGTTTTTTTTT